AAGCGGTGATAGGACAAAGACACTTAGGCTTGGCTGCTCATTAGTGAGGAATCTCAACACCGTTTGGGCCTGGGAAGGAAGTTAGTGAAGGAGTAGCAAGGTTTGTTTGTGTAAGCTTTCTGGCCCTGATTCCTTCATGCTAGCAATAAGGGTGTCATTTATTTTTATTTTTTATTTTTTATAATTTTTATTAAATTTTCATTGTTGAAAGTATTGCCTATGTCCTTTTCCCCCCATTGACCCCTTCTAGCCCGCCCCCACTGCATGTCCCAGGCCTTCACACAGGGTGTCTCTCTCAGCCCCCTAGAGCAGGGAGGGCACCTTCCCCAGGGGAGATGTATTTCCTGCATCAGGAGACAAGGGAGGGCCGGCCTGCCCTCTGGCACTGGCTGCTTGTCAAGAAACTTTAGATCAAAGTCACCCATATCCCACTGGGAGATCATTTGGGGCAGCCTGCTCCGGGCTCCCACAGTAGAATTCCATAATCTAGGGAAACCACAGCTTTTTAATTATCCAACTGACGATGGCTACATCGATTCCACTCTCCCCTGGTACGGTGGCCCAGAGAGGCCCACACAGGCGCTGCAATGGAGGGGGGTTTCTGTGGAAGGCACGGAGGACTGGAATGCCCAGGCATCAAGGTGTGCGTGTTTGCGGCTCAAATAGATTCTGCCAGTTGTCCTCCGAGCTAGATAGTTCTCTTTGTACTCCCACCAGCAATATAGGAGAGGACCATTAGCCCATACTCTTTCTTTAAAATAAAATTTTTAATTGATTTTTTTACAGAGAGGAAGGGAGGGAGATAGAGAGTTAGAACCATCGATGAGAGAGAAACATCGACCAGCTGCCTCCTGCACACCCCCCACTGGGGATGTGCCCCGTGACCAAGGTACATGCCCTTGACCGGAATCGAACCTGGGACCCTTCAGACCGCAGGCCTACGCTCTATCCACTGAGCCAAACTGGTGAGGGCAGCCCATATACCCTTTCAATGTAATATTAGCAGACTTCTTAACTCTTGCCATTCTGGTGGGTAATAAATGATAGCTTGTTATTGGAAGTTCGCATGTCTCTAGTTTTCCGTCATTCTTACATAACCTGTCAAGTTCCCAATGAAACAAGAGAAGCAGAGGGGGTTGGGGTAAGTGTTTTCTATCCTCTCGTGGCACACAGCACTAGGCACAGGGTAGGCTCTGATAGTTAGAGGCTAGAGGATGTGTTGATTAGCTTGGGCAATTCTTAAATTTCAAAAAATAAAACAGCAGCGGTGGAAACTTCGAGAAAGGAAGGTGCCGCCGATCTGATCCAAGGGGGACAGGGAAGGGGAGCCCTCAGAGAACACGGAGAGATTCTAAGGGCGTCTGCAGGGAACAGGAAGGTGAGACGTTGGCTTTCCCTTTTGGCTGCCTCCCCGTGTATCAGCGTGTTACCTGCCTCCTGGGTGTCTGTTTGGGGAGAAAAGACTTCAGGCCTGCTTTCCCCAAGGACAGACAGGACTCTGCGTGCTCCTCTGGCTGTCCTTTCTGCCCCAGCTGTTCTTGGCAGGCGTCTTTCCTGCACGCTGCTGGGTACGACGGGGTGCCGTTTCCACCACCAGCCCCCACGGCCAAGTGCGGATAGGACAGGCTGGGGATTTGTTGCAGGGACGGTAGCCCTCCTGGCGAGGCCCCGTGGCCTTTGAAATAAGTTTATTATTAGTTATTATGAGTCCAGCTAGAAGAACAAGTCCAGGGACAAGGCCAAAAGGAAGAAGGGCTCCCAAGGCAGAATTCGGGACAAGCTCAATACCCTCGTCTTGTTTGACAGAGCCACCTGTGACAATACTTTCAACAATGAAGATTTAATAAAAATGAAAAATAATAATAATAATAATAATAAACTTTGACAGGCGAGTGCTGCAGTTGTCCTTCCAGACCATATAAGTCCAGTGTATAAGACTGACCCCCTAACTTTACAGTTAAAACATAGGTTTAGGCCTATATTCGCTGTATAAGACTACCCCCCACGGTTAGGTTAGGTTTTTGTCCCCAACGATTGCCCAGGCCACACTGAGAAGCTCTGTTCCAGACTCTTCTGTGGGTTCCGGGCCCTGGAATCAGCAGCCCAAATCACAGCACACCTATTTCAGATTCCTCATGGGCCTTGTCTACTAATTCATCCTCTAGGTTTGCACACCCCTGGGCCAAGGGCCAGCTGTTAGAGGGAGCAGCCAAGGTGAAGATTGAATACGTGTGCGGGGCTGCCCATACGCAGGCATCTGAGGCCCTGTCGGTGCCAGATGGAGAGGAGATGGGAAGAAAAGGGGTTCAGACTGCTGGCTGGTGGAGGAAGTGGGTGCAAGGATTTGGGGTAAGCCCAGCTGTAGGAACCCATTTCTCTGTCCATCTGGAACCCACAGCCAGTCAGGAACTCTGGGCCAGGCATTTTCTGCTGTGACTCCCAATGTTGTGAGCCCTGATTTTCCTCCAGGGCCACAGCTGAGAGCAGTTTGCAGAGTAGGTGGGTAACACACGGGCTCACTGGTGGCATGTGACATTTGGCTCACTGCTTCCTCCGCGTTGGGACTGGAGCCTCAGCCACCCCTCCCCCACTCAGCATAGACACACTGTGCTTCTGATGCCACCTCAACACTCTGGGGAAGGATTGTGTTTGTTTTCCTGAAGCATGACGAAAAGCAAACAAACACAGGCGAATGCCCCAAAGGAAGATAGGCAAATGATTTGGCAATTTAAAAACAAACACCTAATTAGGTAATAGGCATACAAATAATATAATATTTTTTATTATTAAGAAGTTACACGTCTTGACTTTTTAGTAAGTTAAGAAATGTAAATTCAGGCAATGAGATACTTTATTTTGCCTCTTCACCCGACAAAGATGGGAAACAAAAAGGGAGATATTCAGTGTCTGTGAGGGTTTAGGGTGAGGGGTTGGGTAATATTGCATTTCATGTACTCTCAGCAACAGGGCAATGGGGTAATTGGAGATTTATAGGGGTGAACATAGCCATACATTGAAAAAGGCCTTACCACCTGCATATCCTTTGAAATCTTGAACACAGGGTTTCCATCTTCTTACATCCGTGGGTTGCTGATGCAAACAGTGATGTCAGCCTCATTCCTGACTTTTGTCCTCTTCTAAGGCGTTTCTTGTTCTCAGTGATGTTCTGAAATTTCACCAAGATCTATCTAGGCTAGTTTTCTTTTTGTTTATCCTGCCAAGTACTTGGTAGGCTATTTCGGTTTCACATTGTTCTTCTGCTCTGAGAAATACTTAAGCCAGATCATTTGCTGGAATGACTCACAGAACCCCGGGCCAGTTACTTACACTTACGGTAGAGGACAATGTAAAGGGTACAGATGGAAAGCCAGATGAAGAGGTAGGTAAGGCGAGGTCCAGAAGAGTCCCCAGTGCAGGAGCATCTGTCCCCCTGGGGTTGAGGTGCGCCATCCTCCTGGCACCTGGGGGTGCTTTTACCAACCTTAAAGCTTCCCTAACATCATCATGTAGGAGATTTTATGAGGGGTTGATCATTAGGTGTGATCAATTATTAACTCAACCTTTAGCTCCTCTTCCTCTCCCGAGAGGTGGGGGGTGAGACTGAAAGTTCCAGGCTCCTGATCAAGGTTAAGTCTTTCTGGCAATCAGCTCTCATCCTGAGGCTGTGGGGATGGGGGGGCATGTGTTGCCTCATTAGAACAAATTTGTCTATTTTTAAATATTTACATTTTATTGATTTTTTACAGAGTGGAAGAGAGAGGGATAGAGAGCTAGAAACATCAATGAGAGACAATCATCGACCAGCTGCCTCCTTCACACCCCACACTGGGGATATGTGCCCGCAACCAAGGTACATGCCCTTGACTGGAATCGAACCTGAGACCCTTCAGTCCGCAGGCCGACGCTCTATCCACTCAGCCAAACCGGTTTCGGCCAAATTTGCCTATTGCTCCCAAAGTTCCAAGGATTCTAGGAGCCAGGAGCAAAGACAGAGGTCATCACCAAAGGTGCTCTCTCATTCTATCACTTGGGAAATGACAAGGTGTTCTGGGCCAAGAAGTAGGGATGAAGACCAAATACATATTTCTTATTATATCACATGGACTGCTCCATCCCTGCTGACTGGCCTCAGCTGGTGCAGGAGTAGAGGGGACAACACACCTGGCTGCTCCTGGCCTTCCTATCACACAGCCCCTGCCCACTTCCGGTCTCCCTCTCCCACTCTCCCTCGTGCTGTATGCTGCTCTTTATCCTTGAAGTCCTCCCTCTAGTTTTCCTCCTGTGTTTCAGGCTGTGTATGTACACGTATTCTATCGTTTCTTGGCATTTGTTATGGGAATTATGTAAAAAACTGTATAACCTTCGAACCAGTAATCCGCTTCTAGGAATCCATCCTGAGGATGTAATTAAAAATAAAGATTTAACTACGAAGAGTTTCATCAGAGTAACATTTATTTTGAGAACATATATTCAACTAGAAAGGATTAGTAAAGTAAATGGTGACATATTCCCATAACAGCAGACCGTGCAAGAAGCAACATGACAATATTTAATGGCATGGGGAAATGCCATTGATGTATAATATTAAGTGAAATTATCAGGTTATAAACTTATTTTTAAACATCTCATCTTTGTAAAACAAAACAACAAAACACATGTTCTTATCGAAAAGGGTTACTTGGCATGGTGGGATTTCTGGTGACTCTCCTTCTTTTTGGCTGAAAGTTTTCCATGCTCTTGGGGCTTGTTTGTGGCAAGACTCTAGTGTAGGGGTGTCGAACTCAATCAGAGAAGGGTCCAAAATCTAAAATCCAGCCTAAATCGCGGGCCGAATGGTTTACTGAACAGTCATAAACTGTCATTGTGATGGAAACGCAGCGGAGTGCAGTGATGACAGCGCGGTGTGGGCCACATTGCAAGGCCTGGCGGGACGGATTTGGCCCGCGGGCCTTGTGTTTGACACATGTGCTCTAGTGCCATGCCCTGTCTCCCTCCCCCAGGTGTGCTGGAAGATGGACCGTCCTCCAATGGTGTGCCCCGATCTACAGCCCCAGCTGGAATATCCAACCCAGAGAAGAAGACAAGCTGTGGGACCCAGTGCTCCAATCCTCAGAGCCTTGGCGCAGGCACTTTGACCCAGAAACACAACGGCCTTCGGACCACAGAGGTAGGTAGGTCCCAGCCACACACCAACTTGGGCCTGGGGAGAAGGAGAGACTGTGCCCTTGGGAAAAATACAGCGAAGGTTCACCTTGCTAATGAGAATTCTCTGCCTCACCCATGTGAACATTGCTGCAAACAAAATAGCAAGATGCAATACCTACCCCACCCCCTGCCCTTGAGGGTTGCTAGGTTTAGTTGAATCAGCTGAAATGGGTCCTTGATGTTGGCACTCTAACGGAGGGGTGTTTGCTTAAAGACAGCTTTGTTCAAGGATCGCCTTTCCCGTGTCAGGTCTCACCATCTTGATCTTGAGGACTGTAGGCCAGGCAGTCGGCCAGTTTTAGGGGTTGGCAGCATGGGGAGTAGATAGGGAAGGAGAGAGAGGACCAGGCGGGCTGTGCAAAGCCCCCAGGAGGAGGGACTCTTGCCGCAGAATGTTGCTGTTGGGAAGGAAGTAGGACGGTGGGGTCCCTGGCCTCGCTGGCATCCTTGCTGACCCTTGCTTCCTCTCAGCTCTGGTTGGGAAATGCTCCTCCCATGGGAATGAATGTCCTTGGGAGGCCAGCCCAGACTCAGCAGCCTCTTTCTCCTTCCACTCTCTGTCTCCCTCCTGCTTCCTCATCTTTCCCATCTCCCACCTCCATTCAAAGTCCACTGCTCACTGTATGCTCCACACTCATTTTCCCTCTCTCCCCTGTTATAACTTACTGGTCCTGTCCTCTCAGGCCAAGGCCCTCTGCTTTCTGAGGCACAACTGGTCATCTAATGATGGAATTCCTGCTCACATCAGTACACCACCTCTCTAAGCTTTGGTCAAAAGACCTGTTGCAACTTCAGCTCTAGCACTCAGTAAGGAAGTAGCCTTGCAGGAATCAATCTCTCAGAGTCTCAGGTTCCTTAGCCACACAGTGGAAATAATGCCAAAATGAGAGAGCAGATGGGCCTGCTCTTTGTAAACTGAGAAGCACTATAAGAAAGGCAGGATGGATGAACAGGGATGGTTGAGGCACACAGTGCCATAACCCAATTATTATTATTTTTTAAATATATTTTCATTGATTTCAGAGAGGAAGGGGGAGGGAGGGAGGGAGGGAGAGAGAGAGGGAGAGAAAGAAATATATATCAGTGATGAGAGAGAATCGTCCATTTGCTGCCTCCTGCAGACCCCACACTGGAGATTGAGCCTGCAAGTCAGGCATGTGCGCCAACCAGGAATCAATCCATGATCTCCATATGGTCCATAGGTCCATGCTCCACCAGTGAGCAATGCTGGCTGGGCCCATAACCCAACTACGTATACAAAACTGATGGTGGCCATTCAGATACAGTAGACGGTAATGGGTAGGGAGAAGATTTAAGGATCACAATGGCCCTTCCTGGGGATCCTGGTGCCTACATTGCCTGTGCATCAGCTGGCCTTCTAGAAGCCTAACCATCAGTGCTGTCTCCCAAGGCAGACTGGGCCCCACAGAACTACACTCAGAAGCTGCAGGATGGGCCCTGCCACCTGCCCCAAAGCCTAGCCTCCTCCCCACACTTGTGCCCTTTCCCTCTGAGCCAGGATGTGTGTGGTAGGGAGGAAGCCGCTGTGCCTGGTGCGTGACGTGGCGCACACATTTGCTTTTTCACCTCCCTGCCTGCCCCATCATCCATCACTGTAACATTGTGTCCTGAGGTTTACAGAACGCTTTTGGATCTCCTAGTTCGGTAAATCTTCCCAAGAGCGTTTTGCGAAGTAAACATCATCCTCATTTGATAGACAAGGAAACCGGGCTGCATTTAGTAATTGTCTGACCGGAATTTGCTGTGTAAGTGCTAGAGGTGGGCGCCAGTGACTTTGAATGAAACAGGCGACGATTAGAATGGGGGGCGGGGGTGGGCATAGAGATCTGAAAATACTTTTTGCTGAAGAAGAATGTGTATTAGTCAGCTATGGTCGTGATAATGCTGCATGACAAAGCCCTTCGACAGTCACGGGCTTAAAATAGCAATCCTTTTCCTCCTCATAGTCAGTGGCAACCTGACGGAACTCCAGGCCTCACAGAACCTTGTGTATTGTTCTGGGAATCGGGCCAAAAGAGCAGCAGCATTCTGAGGTATATTCTCCTCAAGACTCTGACTGTGTTGGGGCTCAGGGAAGGCTGCCCCAAAATATGCCACTTCGGCATATTGATTCTTCTTATTTATTTATTTTTATTATCGATTTCAGAGAGAAAGAGACAGATAGAAACATCAATGATGAGAGAGAATCATTGATTGGCTGCCTCCTGCACGCCCCCTATTGGGTATCGAGCCCACAACCTGGGCATGTGCCCTCGGCCGGAATCGAAACCTGGAACCCTTTAGTCCTCAGGCTGATGCTCTATCCACGGAGCCAAACCGACTAGGGCTATATTGTTTATTTTTTATTAAAGTTACTTAAGAAACAGATGGTGCAAAAAGAGCACGCTGACTGTCCTGGGTCTCTGAAAGCAGGAAATAAATCTCGTGTGTAAAGGTGCCCTCCCATCTGGAGGCAGGGAGACTGCTCATCGCCGAGATAGGGAAACTCCCGGCTGTGAGGGCTGTGTACACAGCGTTGCTTAGATCTCACTAATTGAGCGCCCAAGCTTACGTTTCTTAGTCTTGTCAGTTCTTCATGAATTTATGGTTTCTTTGTCTAAAAAAAAGTATAAAAGCTGCCTGCTTTGGTCATTTCTTCAGGTTGCGTTATCTGTGAGATCCCAGTAGATATGAACTTGATTTTCTCCTGTCAATCTGTCTCATGTCCATTTAATTCTTAAACCAGCCAGAAGAACCCGGAAATAGAAAATATTTTCCTCTCTGACAGCAGAAACCCAAGAGGGCGAAATCAAACTGTTCAAACACGTTTATGTCTCTGCTCACATCCTACCAACCAACCTCCTGTTGGCCAAAGCACAACACAAGGACAAGCCCTACAGCCATAGAGCAAGGACGCATACTCTGTCCCTGGTGGAGAGACAGGAGCAATAATACAACCTACCACATAGAACATACATACAGAGAAAACCACAAGTCACAGTTCAATGAATTAAACAAACAAAACAAAACATTTTTATTTATTTTAGAGAGGAAAAGGAGGGAGAGAGGGGGAGAGGGAGAGAAAAGCATCAATGGTGAGAGATAATCATTGATTGGCTGCCTCCTGCACGCTCCCTACTGGAGATCAAGCCCATAAACCAGGCATGTGCCCTTGATGGGAATCGAACCTGGGACCCTTCAGTCCACAAGCCAATGCTCTAGCCATTGAGCCAAACCAGCCAGGGCTCAATGGGTTTTATAAGGTGACACACCCATGTAGCCATCTTCCATATGAAGATATTATCACTACCCCAGAAATCCTCCTATGCCCTTCCCCAGTCACCACCGCCCCTCCCCCAACGTAACCACTTTCCAGCACTGTACTCCAGTTTTGCTTATTTTCAAGATTTTTATAAAGGCACTTATACAACATGTACTCTTTTGCCCGGTATTAATGCCAGTGGGAATTACCCATGTTGTTGTGAGTGGCAACATTTCCTCGTTTTCATATGTATATTTCATTCTACTGGAAGGACATTTGGGTTGTTTCCAGTTGGGGTTATTATGAACAATACAGCTATTACTATCTTGTTGTTGTTCATGTGTGTGTGTTTTAAATGTTAAACCTTTTAAAAATTGGGATTTATTGGGGTAACATTGGTTAATACCATTATGTAATTTTCAGATGTACAACTTTATAATACAGCTCTCTACTCCATTGTGCTCTCTGCCCCAAACCTAGTCTCCTTTCCTCCCCATACATTTGACCCCCCCTTTATCCTCTTCATCCTCTCCATACCCCTTTCCCCTCTGTAATCACTGTTCTGTTGTCCGTATCTATGAGTTTGTTTGTTGGTTCATTGCTGCTTTCTGTTTTACATACTACATCTGAGTGAAATCATACTGTTCTTGTCTTCTTCCATCCGACTTATTTCACTTAGTATGTTACTCTCAGGATCTACCCATGTTATCGGAAATGGCAACGTTTCATTGCTTTTATGGCTGAGGAGTCTTCCCTTGTACATACCACATCCTATGTGGAAGGACGCCTAGGTTGTTTCCATGTAACATTCTTGTGCATGCCCTTCTGTTGACATACACTTCTTTGGGGTACATATGTGGAGTGACGTTGCTGGCTCCGTAGGATGGGGATATATGCAACTTTGACAGACACTAACAAACAGTCTTCCAAAGAGGTTACACCAGCTGACACGCTCACCAGCGGCAAATGAATTCTGGTTATGGAATATAAGAGTTTAAAGCCAGCCTTGACCAGTTTGGCACAGTGGATAGAGCATCGGCCTGCAGACTCAAGGGTCCCAGGTTCGATTCCGGTCAAGGGCATGTACCTTGGTTTCGGGCATATCCCCAGTAGTGGATGTGCAGTAGGCAATTGATCGATGTTTCTCTCTCATTGATGTTTCTAACTCTCTATGCCTCTCCTTTCCTCCGTAAAAAATCAATAAAATATATATTTTTAAAAAGTTTAAAGCCAGTTAGTTGTGCTTAGTCCTCCTAGATGTAGCTTAGGCCGCTAAGACATTGCGATATTATCTCACTACAGTGACTCTGAAATGTTGATATTGTTGTCTCCCGTCCACAAATGGGAATAGCGACTCCGAGGTAGCTGGGGAAGAGCTCGTCCTCAGTCCACACTCACGTGCACTCTGGGATCTCCTGTTGTTACAAAGTCTGGCCCAGCGGAGCCAGGCCCTGGGACCACAGCAATGGCAGCAGCGGAAACTATGGCCAGGGAGTGAGGACCACACACACAAAGCACCAGAGGGCAGATGGCTCTTACTGATAAGCTGACCAGGCTGCTTTTGTGTTCACAGTTCAGTGAACAATGGCTACATTGAACTATTTCCAAGCTAAGATCGGGGAGCAGATAACTTCAGTGGTAAATGCTGCTCAATGCATCAGCGGTCTCCTAGGCTGCGAGCTCAGCAGCCACCAGATGTCCTGG